TGGTTTACTTTCCATTTTGGCTACAAGAGGGCAGCAGCAGTTGTCAGAAGAGTCATAACTGACGCTATGTTGACTGCTGTAGGTTCAGTCTCGATGCCGCTGGGTCGACGTCTGGCCGGACGCGGGCGCTGTTCCGCTTGAAACTTCCCGTCAAAACACGCCCAAATATTCGGTCGCAGGATTCGGTCCGGATATTCGGTTGCAGCACTCGGTCCGGATATTCGGTCGCAGTACTCGGTCCGGATATTCGGTCGCAGGACTCGGTCCAGATATTCGTCCGCAGGACTCGGCCAAATGTGTGGGGGGGGGGCCATCTTCAAGACCCGGAGCCAACATAGTGAGAAGAGCACATATCGTCTGAGGTCAAAGGCAAGACGATTAATTTTTTACGTGTTCCCGGCTAATCTTTTGAGCAGGGGGGGGAGGGGATGGAGCAGGGGGGGAGGGGGAAGAAGGGGGATGGTGGGGAGGGGAGGGTTTCTGGAGGTGGCTTATCTCTTGGAGTCTGGGAAAGGCGTTGATGAGTTTTGTCTGAGCTCGTATATGAGTTTATTTGCTGTCAATTTATTTGAATTTATTTGTTTGCAGGGAGATTCCTGCGCGGGGCTCTAAGCCTGTGGCTGGCCCACTAAGTGTTACTTGTTTCTCATTTGTTGTATGAGTATTTATGACTCGTATATTCGCTTCAGTTCGCTTCAGTAATGTTCGCTCTCAGCTATCGTATGTGTCGCAGGGTATTGTAACGTGGAGAGACGGAGCTCTCAGCTACAGTATGTATCAGGGGACAGAATAGTTTGGCTTCCCACCAATGTGTATATATATATATATATATATATATATATATATATATATATATATATATATATATATATATATATATATATATATATATATATATATATATATATATATATATCACTAAGAACTCTTTGACCCGGCCAGGATTCGAACCCATGCCGTCCAGGATCACCCCTAAACGTACACAGTACCGTGACCACCGCACCAATGATCTAGACGATCATTGGTGCGGTGGTCACGGTACTGTGTACGTTTAGGGGTGATCCTGGACGGCATGGGTTCGAATCCTGGCCGGGTCAAAGAGTTCTTAGTGATATATGGCTTGCGCGTTCATGCAGCTTTCTCACATATTATATATATATATATATATATATATATATATATATATATATATATGTCGTACCTAGTAGCCAGAACGCACTTCTCAGCCTACTATGCAAGGCCTGATTTGCCTAATAAGCCAAGTTTTCATGAATTAATTGTTTTTCGACTACCTAACCTACCTAACCTAACCTAACCTAACTTTTTCGGCTACCTAACCCAACCTAACCTATAAAGATAGGTTAGGTTAGGTTAGGTAGGGTTGGTTAGGTTCCGTCATATATCTACGTTTATTTTAACTCAAATAAAAAAAAATTGACCTCATACATAATGAAATGGGTAGCTTTATCATTTCATAAGAAAAAAATTAGAAAAAAATATATTAATTCAGGAAAACTTGGCTTATTAGGCAAATCGGGCCTTGCATAGTAGGCCAAAAAGTGAGTTCTGGCTACTAGGTACGACATATATATATATATATATATATATATATATATATATATATATATATATATATATATATATATATATATATATATATGTCGTACCTAGTAGCCAGAACGCACTTCTCAACCTACTATGCAAGGCCCAATTTGCCTAATAAGCCAAGTTTTCATTAATTAATTGTTTTTCGACTACCTAACCTACCTAACCTAACCTAACCTAACTTTTTCGGCTACCTAACCTAACCTAACCTATAAAGATAGATTAGGTTAGGTTAGGTAGGGTTGGTTAGGTTCAGTCATATATCTATGTTAATTTTTACTCCAACAAAAAAAAATTGACCTCATACGTAATGAAATGGGTAGCTTTATCATTTCATAAGAAAAAAATTAGAGAAAATGTATTAATTCAGGAAAACTTGGCTTATTAGGCAAATCGGGCCTTGCATAGTAGGCTGAGAAGTGCGTTCTGGCTACTAGGTACGACATATATATATATATATATATATATATATATATATATATATATATATATATATATATATATATATATATATATATATATATATATATTGCAGGACTATTGCAATTATATACACAAATTCTTATGTTTCCAATCATGAAATATATTAAAAATAATACGTAACCTGATATTTAATACCAACGTACTAAAAATTTATTAAGGGACGGAAACTATGAGGAAAAAAGCGCCAAGCCATTACGACTAAATAAACCCATGTATTATGAGTTTAGCTAAAAATGACAATAAACTCTTAGGTGTCTCCACGCCACATTTGACATCTCGTACACACGTTATAAACTCTTGGGAATCGCCACGCCACGCTTCACAACTCGCCCCATACTTTTGGCTAACATTTATCATATTAAAATGGCTTAAATAAAATATCTTTATGGGAGCAACACTCGCAAAATATCAATAGGAATCTCAGCCTTATCATCAGACGAACAAACGCTCTTTCTCCCAAGCCCCTACGGCCAGGAAATCAAGGAAAACGGCAAGTAAGTATTGTTGATGCGAAGCTAAAACTCCTTCTTGAGAGGTTATCTTGAGGTGATTTCGGGGCTTTAGTGTCCCCGCGGCCCGGTACTCGACCAGGCCTCCACCCCCAGGAAGCAGCCCGAGACAGCTGACTAACACCCAGGTACCTATTTTTCTGCTAGGTAACAGGGGCATAGGGTGAAAGAAACTCTGCCCATTGTTTCTCGCCGGCGCCTGGGATCGAGCCCAGGACCACAGGATCACAAGTCCAGCGTGCTGTCTGCTCGGCCGACCGGCTCCCCGGTCGGGGAGAAGTGTTTCAAGTTTAACTTAGTTTCAACGAGAAGTGAAACAGCGAGTTTCAGTGAGTATTAACCAGCACGCCCGGCTGGGTATTATACAATCATTACATGTTTCAAGTGCTGAAAGTTTCAAGTCGTGTAAGTTTGAAGTATTGTAAGTAGTATTGCAAGTTTAAGTATTTGGTAAGTTTCCAGTTCGCGACCATCAAATGGGAAGACTTTGCAGAGGAAATATCTTCCAGGTTGAGACTCTGCAGTGGAAAATATAATGTTCTATAGGACAATTAAAATATGTCATATTCGTCAACATAACTACAATGAACACCCCAAGTCTGTCAACACAGCTACAATGAACGTCACAGTCTGTCATCACGGCTACAATGAACGCCCCAGTCTGTCATCACGGCTACAATGATCGCCTCCAGTCTGTCAACATGGCTACAATGAACGCCCCAGTCTGTCAACACAGCTACAATGATCGCCCCCAGTCTGTCATCACGGCTACAATGAACGCCCCAGTCTGTCAACACGGCTTCAATGATCGCCCCCAGTCTGTCATCACGGCTACAATGAACGCCCCAGTCTGTCATCACGGCTTCAATGATCGCCTCCAGTCTGTCAACATGGCTACAATGAACGCCCAAGTCTGTCAACACAGCTACAATGATCGCCACAGTCTGTCATCACGGCTACAATGATCGCCCCCAGTCTGTCATCACGGCTACAATGAACGGAACAGTCTGTTATCACGGCTACAATGATCGCCTCCAGTCTGTCAACATGGCTACAATGAACGCCCCAGTCTGTCAACACAGCTACAATGATCGCCACAGTCTGTCATCACGGCTACAATGATCGCCCCCAGTCTGTCATCACGGCTACAATGAACGCCCCAGTCTGTCATCACGGCTACAATGATCGCCCCCAATCTGTCATCACGGCTACAATGATCGCCCCCAGTCTGTCAACACATCTACAATGAACGCCCCCTGTCTGTCATCACGGCTACAATGACTCAACTGTAATGACCAAGCTCTCAACAAGGCTGGTATTCATTTACACAACCACCCAATCTCACACACAAACTAACAATCTTTATAATTACTACGGGAAGGGGATCGCCATACACGGCCATCACGCAATTGTTGAATTCAATCGAGTTCATATCGCAAAGGAATGAAAAACAAAAACAAAAAAATGGGCGGGATGGACGCAGGGTGGGCGGGGTGGGCGGGTTGGGGGTGGGGGGGCGCAGGGTGGGGGGGGGGGAGGTAAGCACGTTGCTGTCGATATAAATAACTATAAATTTTCTGCTTGTCGTTCCTATATGCGTGAACGACTGTCCCTGAGCGGGGAAAGAGAGAGAGAGAGAGAGAGAGAGAGAGAGAGAGAGAGAGAGAGAGAGAGAGAGAGAGAGAGAGAGAGAGAGAGAGAGAGAGAGAGAGAGAGAGAGAGAACGACTTTTCAGGGGATTATAACCTATTTTGGAATGAGAGTTTCCGTGGATTGTTCGACCAGACGAATGTTGGTCTCTCTCTCTCTCTCTCTCTCTCTCTCTCTCTCTCTCTCTCTCTCTCTCTCTCTCTCTCTCTCTCTCTCTCTCTCTCTCTCTCTCTCTCTCTCTCTTCTCTCTCTCTCTCTCTCTCTCTAACGATAAAAAAAATCCCACCCGTCCTCCTAAGGGGTCTCCAACGCCAAGAAAGTATCGTACAACAGCCTCCTATCCTAACGTACAGTCATGCAGAAACAGAACGGAGATACTCACCATTAGTCACGTCGTCGAAGGTGCCGTCGGTGATGGCGTTGGCGGCCTGGTCCAAGTTCCCGCCAGCGGGGTACGGATCGTGGCTAGCAGCATCACCGGGGTACCAGTCGCGGCCCTCGTCGGAGCGGAGCAACGAATCAGGGCCTTCGTTAGCTTGGATCAACGGTTCAGAAAACAAATAGGGGCCCTCGTTACTGTTAAAGAGGCCAGGGCCCTGCTGCTGCTGCTTCTCTCTTCCCACAGACACAGGGACTTCCTCGTCCTCGTCTTCCCGCGGGATTTCCTCCGATAAATACCAAGGGGGCCAGGCGTCTACCACAGTCTCCCTCTCTCGAATTTTTCCGTTTTCTGCAGTGACCATGAGAACAGCCTGTCAGAGAGAGAGATGAGCTGTCAGTAAACCATCAAAATCAAAATATTGAGGAATTGTGCATTTTGCAATATAAATATAAAATTTGTCACGTAAAATTATTACATATATATATATTTTGTTTTTAAACCTAAAATGGGTAGCACCTCTTATGCAATTGTAGGGGACCCATAGCCTCGGAGAAGAAAATAAAGAGTACTCAGAGAAGACTTTGTGGATCCTCACCGAACACTTTGATATTTGCTTCTCCTACCACCCCAATTTATATATATATATATATATATATATATATATATATATATATATATATATATATATATATATATATATATATATATATATATATATATATATATAAACCGATGACCAAATTAAAGCAGAATTCTCCAGCACAGAAGAATTAGTTGATGTTACTATCCACGGTTTTGTAATTGACAATGGATAGGACACGGGCGTGGATCCTCTAATTCGTCTGTGTTATCTGTAGATTCCAATGTATTTCCAGAGAGTAGTGATATATAATATAATATAGTTATAACAATGAGGTGATTCCTCTTCTGACCTTCCATGACATCTGAGTCCCTTTGTCTGGACCAAAACTGATGCTACAGCACAACTGCGACAGGCAATGTGATCAGCACAAACGGTAGAGTTTCCCCTACTAAGCCGAGAGACACTTGTCTTGAACCTTAAGACTAAGTCTGACTCGGGGCGAGGCAAAGATCTACACTTAAGTACAACTCGCGCAACAAGCGGTAATTAGCACAGACGGTATTGCTTCTACTTCTTCTAACTTAACCACTTTAGTACACACATGACCGGGTAATTAGCACAGACGGTATTGCTTCTACTTCTTCTAACTTAACCACTTTAGTACACACACGACCGGCAGTCTGGTGTGTGGAGAAAGCAGCACATTGCTCCAATCCACTCCAGTTGTTTTCCTGTTTAATCAACTCGTTCTCTCCCGGGGTCTCCACGTCAAGAAACTTGAGAGAACTATGTCGACTTTGCTGTCAGTCTTGTGGAAGAGACGTCTACGTAGGAGTCCGTAGGCCTACGTAGGAGTGAGTTCGTAGGCCTACGTAGGAGTGAGTCCGTAGGCCTACGTAGGAGTGAGTTCGTAGGCCTACGTAGGAGTGAGTCCGTAGGTCTACGTAGGAGTGAGATCATAGGTAACTCCTGCCTCAACATAAGATTACGCTGCTCTAAATGTGTCTCTCTCCTGCTTACAAGGCTTTAAATAATTGACGACTCAAATGTTCAGACCACTGCAGTCGAATGATCCTTACTCTGTGAAGTCAAACTAGCAAGTGGTGTGTTGTGGTCCAATTAGAGGCAGTCTCGCATGACGTCATACGTTTCCTCCCATTGGCTCCACTAATCACGTGACTCTTCAAAGCGTCGTTGACGTACATATAAACAGCGTCGTTGAAGTACATATAAACAGCGTCGTTGACGTACATATAAACAGCGTCGTTGAAGTACATATAAACAGCGTCGTTGAAGTACATATAAACAGCGTCGTTGAAGTACATATAAACAGCGTCGTTGAAGTACATATAAACAGCGTCGTTGAAGTACATATAAACAGCGTCGTTGAAGTACATATAAACAGCGTCGTTGAAGTACATATAAACAGCGTCGTTGAAGTACATATAAACAGCGTCGTTGAAGTACATATAAACAGCCACGTCATACCAGACGTGGCGTCTGGTACGACCAGAATAAGACGTGTGAATACACCTGTGACCTATTATCAACTTTATTACATTAAATGAACAAATCCACAAGGGCCGTGACGAGGGTTCGAACCTACGTCCAAGAGGATCCCAGACGCTGCCTTAATCGATTTCTGTGTGTAATTTATTAGATTAGTTTAAAAATTCTTAGTTCATATAATCCCTGGCAGCACTTCCTGCTTGTGTGTGTGTGGGTGTGACTCGTTGACAACACGTTACAGAACACAATAAAGTAGCCGTCACAACTGCAAGAAAAATGACAGGTTGGATAACAAGAACCTTTCACACTAGAGGTGCTGTACCGATGATGATACTTTTGAAGACGCTAGTGCTCTCTAGAGTGGAGTACTGCTGCACAATGACAGCCCCTTTCAAAGCTGGAGAAATTGCTGACCTGGAGAGCGTGCAGAGATCTTTTACTGCTAGAATCCACTCAGTAAAACATCTAAACTATTGGGACCGACTAAAGAGCCTAAATCTGCATTCTCTTGAGCGCAGGCGGGAGAGATACATAATAATTTACACGTGGAAAATATTAGAGGGGCTGGTCCCAAATCTGCACACAGAAATAACATCACATGAGACCAGAAGGCATGGCAGGATGTGCAGAATACCCCCGTTGAAGTGCAGAGGTGCAACAGGTACTCTGAGAGAGAACTCTATCAACATCAGAGGCCCGAGACTGTTCAACACGCTTCCACTACACATAAGGGGCATAACTGGCCGACCCCTCACAGTGTTCGAGAGAGAACTATCAACATCAGAGGCCCGAGACTGTTCAACACGCTTCCACTACACATAAGGGGCATAACTGGCCGACCCCTCACAGTGTTCAAGAGAGAACTATCAACATCAGAGGCCCGAGACTGTTCAACACGCTTCCACTACACATAAGGGGCATAACTGGCCGACCCCTCACAGTGTTCAAGAGAGAACTTGACAAACACCTCCAAAGGATACCTAATCAACCAGGCTGTGACTCATACGTCAGGCTGCGAGCAGCCTCGTCCAACAGCCTGGTTGACCAGCCCAGCAACCAGGAGGCCTGGTCGGGGACCGGGCCGCGGGGACGCTGAGCCCCGAAATCATCGCAAGGTAACAGTCCTTCATGCTGGGAGTATGAGTCAAAAAGACTGAGTGATCTTATTGTGGTCTGTGGCATGATAACAGAGGAGAAATAAGACCATATACCATGGGGGGTGTGTGTATATACCATGGGGGGGTGAATACAATGGGGGAGTATATACCATGGGGGGTGTATATACCATGGGGTGTGTGTATATACCATGGGGGGGTGAATACAAGGGGGAGTATATACCATGGGGTGTATATACCATGGGGGGTGTATATACCATGGGGGTGTATATACCATGGGGGTGTATATACCATGGGGGTGTATATACCATGGGGGTGTATATACCATGGGGGTGTATATACCATGGGGGTGTATATACCATGGGGTGTGTGTATATACCATGGGGGGGTGAATACAATGGGGGAGTATATACCATGGGGGTGTATATACCATGGGGGTGTATATACCATGGGGGTGTATATACCATGGGGGGAGTATATACCATGGGGGTGTATATACCATGGGGGTGTATATACCATGGGGGTGTATATACCATGGGGGTGTATATACCATGGGGGGTGTATATACCATGGGGGGTGTATATACCATGGGGGGAGTATATACCATGGGGGTGTATATACCATGGGGGTGTATATACCATGGGGGTGTATATACCATGGGGGTGTATATACCATGGGGGTGTATATACCATGGGGGGTGTATATACCATGGGGGTGTATATACCATGGGGGGAGTATATACCATGGGGGTGTATATACCATGGGGGTGTATATACCATGGGGGTGTATATACCATGGGGGTGTATATACCATGGGGGTGTATATACCATGGGGGTGTATATACCATGGGGGTGTATATACCATGGGGGTGTATATACCATGGGGGGAGTATATACCATGGGGGTGTATATACCATGGGGGTGTATATACCATGGGGGTGTATATACCATGGGGGTGTATATACCATGGGGGGTGTATATACCATGGGGGTGTATATACCATGGGGGTGTATATACCATGGGGGTGTATATACCATGGGGGTGTATATACCATGGGGGTGTATATACCATGGGGGTGTATATACCATGGGGGGTGTATATACCATGGGGGTGTATATACCATGGGGGTGTATATACCATGGGGGGTGTATATACCATGGGGGTGTATATACCATGGGGGTGTATATACCATGGGGGTGTATATACCATGGGGGTGTATATACCATGGGAGAGTGAAGTGTGGTGAAATATGAGACGGAATTAGAATTAAGCTTGATAAAAGGGGAGAGTGGCAGAGGGATAAAACCTGGGAGGGGAGAGGAAAGTAATGGAAACAGTGAGAGAGAAAGAGAGAGAGAGAGAGAGAGAGAGAGAGAGAGAGAGAGAGAGAGAGAGAGAGAGAGAGAGAGAGAGAGAGAGAGAGAGAGAGAGAGAGAGAGAGAGAGAGAGAAAGAGACAGACAGACAGACAGACAGACAGACAGACAGACAGACAAAGACAGGAGACTTGAAGTAATAAACTGCATACAGAAGAAACATACATACAAATAACACCACAAATATAAACCCATTATAAACCCCAACCCCAAAGAAGTAATGACGGTGGCTTCTATAACCTCTTCACTATCATCATGTAATCACTATCCGGTTGCAAACGACTCTCAGCTTAATTACAGTATTAAATTGAATACATAACTAAGCAGGAAATGACAACTGGTGTAATAACATAATTTCGAGAGAGAATATACACTGTATTATATATCTTTTGTATTGTGCGACCCATATAATCAGCTGTAAACTGAAAGATTTTACCAAGTGTATGAAGTATATTTATATAGTTTTGTGAACTGCTTTCTCCCTCAAAGGACAATACACATATGTACGACACTTCGTTACTGCCGCATCAGTAAGCTTTATTCGACATGTTAGAGTCAATAACAAAGGTGTAAGTGTAACGCGGATATATTAGAGCGATAGGGAGGATTATCACGGGTGTTAAACACGGCTTGTGTTCCCAGGAATCCTCCTGATGGGGGATTTAAATCCCTTCACGACCAGGTATACATAATGTATACCGCTGATGTTTACTCGCTTGTTCCTCGTCCAGGAACAGTTGGTATAAGTAGCAGTAACGCAACATAGTCCAGAAGACGTTAAGTAACGCTA